GTAATAAGTCTATGATGTTGTCTCCTCTTACTGGTAAGTCTATTTTGTTGTCCCACTCAGTAATAAGTCTATTTTGTTGTCCCACTCAGTAATAAGTCTATGATGTTGTCTCCTCCTACTGGTAAGTCTATTTTGTTGTCTCAACCCAGTAATAAGTCTAGTTTGTTGTCTCCTCCCACCAGTAAGCACACAATATGTTAAAAGGCTAGGTCAGAGACTCCTGTAGTTGAGACATAGCTATCCCTAATTATAAACTGCAGACAAAAGTAAAAGCAGTTACTATCTGAAGTAGACATAGCCATTCCTAATTATATACTGCAGACAAATGTAAAAGCACTTACCATCTGAAGTAGACATAGCCATCCCTAATTATATACTGCAGACAAAAGTAAAAGCATTTACCACCTGAAGTAGACATAGCCATCCCTAATTATACACTGCAGACAAAAGTAAAAGCACTTACCATCTGAAGTAGACATAGCCATCCCTAATTATATACTGCAGACAAATGTAAAAGCAGTTACCACCTCAAGTAGCTATTCTTAACCAAAAATTAGGATCGACTGTCACTCGTACAAGAAAACCACAGCTGAAAGTAAGAAGTGTGTTTGGTAGTACTTCATTTTGAACCCCAGGCAATCAGATCCCCAGTACAAGAAGCTAATTACTCTGGCCATATGTTGTTTAGACTATGATAAGGTGAAAAGTTACTGCATTTAAAAAAATGTCAAAAATTACCGATATACATAAGGAATCTTCACTTGATGTATACATAAGGTAATATCAAGACCAGTATTGTTCATCTAGAAATATTAATACAAGTATACCATCATATACATATTTAAACTTCACAGTTACTACAAGAGCAGCACTATATATGTACATATATTTAAATAGCACTATATATATATACCATACTGTGACTAGGTGTAACACTATACATAACTATAAGTAATACTATGACTACATGTAACACCACATACAACTATATATCATATTGTGACTACATGTAACACTACAGATAACTATACGTCATATTGTAACTTATAGCAAAAAATATTCATTAAAACTTGAAACCAACCTTGGAGAGTTTTTCGCAGAACCTAAGAAGTCAATACTAAAAATGATCTTTGCTAAGTCTTCTACTGAAGTTCCCAGCAATGATGCAGCTTTTTGTGCACTCTGGGGTCGAGCAAACTGGGCTTTGTTCAAGAGTGCTGTTTTAGAAACGTTATAAACTTTATTAGTCCTTCACAGATTTTTAAAGCTATATTTACTCTTGAAATAAATAAGAGGAAAATCAACATGTAATTCACACTAATATCTTTCAAGAAGTATAACTATGCAATATTTACAATTCATTAAAACCCATTTCCTCTGTTTGGTCCTACACATTATAATACAATCTGAAAAACCAGATAACAATATAATACATAATGTATATAAATATTTAAAAATGAGAACCACACAGCATTCTAAACTAAAATATATAATAACAAAGCTGACATAGTATACTATATAGAGAAAGATGTTCTTGATAGTTGGTGATATTAAAACAAGACAATTTCATATATAAAATGCCACTAGCTTCAAAGTTTACTGACTAGGTCTTTATTAACAAATAAAGTATTTTTAGAAACTGCAGATTTTGAAGTTCGTAGATAAATTCTGTTGAGTACAAAGTTCAACTACAACTGGTTGTAATGAATAATAATAACAAAAATCAGATTGCAATATTATACCGTAGTTTAAGTACTTAAAATTAAACAATTACTATTAATACACCTTAGATGCTAAATATAACTAAAAACAAATAATTGTCTTAACTCATTCTGTACAATCAGATTGAAATGCACATTTCCTGACTATTTATATGGTTACATTCAAACTTCATTTTTTTCTTCTTTTTATCAATATATGTCAATAAACTTATCAGGAAAGTGTAGTTTATAATTTAAAGTAGCAAATATATAAGATTCTCTATTAAAAAACAGATTGTTTTTAAAAGTTTAAACTTTTGGTTCTTAAAAACAGCTATTTTACCTAATTTGCAATTCCTGTACATTAAATGTAAGATCATTAGAAAGCCATAATAATTTACCCAAGTGTTTAACTCTCTCTATATGGGCTTGGTTGAATCGGCCAAATTCATGACCCAAAATTGACCTTTATAGTATCCACACTATAACTTCTAATATATTTTGTACATTTTCACATAAATTTGGAAGCTTTCAGTTATCATTAAGAGACATTTGTAGACAAAAAAAAATCAGAATTTTTAATGAAGTATTCTGACTCCTGCTACACGTTTAATAGTAGCAAACCTTGAATACTCTACTTCTGGCTAAACAATGCATGAAAGAATCTGACAGTGATTGTTACCGACTCTAATTCTTATTAGATGATAAATATGCTCTACCACGAGATACTCCGGCAGCTCCAAGATGATAGATTGCTGCTAAGATGCTCCATATGGCCTTCGCTTCTGCATCCTGAATATTCAAATTCTGTAGAGCTGCACAAAGGAAAGCCCAAGACAAACCGGCTCTGTGTTTATCTTCTACCTGAAAGTTTCAAGAAATATGTTTTTGTTTCACTTTCAAAATAATCTTATATGTTTTATTGTACAATAAAGTTTTATTTAATGCCAGAAGCACACTTTACTCTCAGAAATGTCAACTCTCCATAATTACAGGTAATTAAAAATATGAACACTTTATAACCTCAAGTATAATATGTAAACTAACAAACCAAAACCATAAAAAATGATCTTACTTTTTGTAATGGTGACATAAATATGTTTGGTTCTTCCAAATTTTCCAAATGAAGTTCTTTCCTAGAACCAAAACAGGATAAAAAACTAAGTTCTTAGAAGTCTAAAAGACAAACACAAACAAACAATTATTAAATTTTCAAGAAATTGAATTTTTATAACTTATGTAACAAGAAAATCAAGGCATTGAATCCATAAATCCAAACAATGAAAATGAAACTGTTTTTATCTCTAGTTAAAGCTTTTATGTGGATTACAGCAATAAAAAATATCTTGAATCAGTTGCAATTACACTATATACTTCTAAAACACTTTATTTATGGTTTAATTACATAATATGCATTACTAAATATATTTAAAAGTATGATATACAAGATAAGACACAAAAGATAAAAGCATTTTTCCAAAGATAAACAACACATGACTCCAAATTACAGATATCCAATAATTTGATTATCTTCAGAAAATAAATTTACTTTTCTGAGGTTAACTGGGTTTCTTTATTTAAAACTACATTATGGGTAGAAAAATCAAATATTATTTCACACAACTTTCACTTGACACTATAATAGCAGCTTCATGAAACATAATTTACACGCATCTACTGAAATAATAAAGTACTTCAATGACTATTAATGATATGCACAATAACTCAATGGCTTACAACATCTGAATGAATGAGCTGCAAATGTCTATATCACTAATGGTCATTCTTACCGTTAAGGTTTTAAAAGATACTGTTAAGCTGAACACTTAAAAGTGCTTATCATTATTTCATGAAAAATTACTCCACCATTAACATACTGAGGGATTCAGGAGAGATGAAAGTTGTAATGTATTTATATATTCTCTCTTAGAAGATGGATATCAACATACACCTACTGTCAAAGGATAAACATGGAACATTTTTCTACAATAAAAATATATTTCCAATAACACTTACTTCCTCTCACACTTACAGCTGTTACTCAATTGCCAGTGTTTCTTTCTTTGCCCATCTGAGCATTGGTCTGATTTTTTCTTGCTTGCTCCAGTCTTTTATACCCCACTCAACTGCCCTTGGCAATATTTATCTTGTGATACTCTCCACCTATGTCAATGTACCCTCTGTCCTGGTACTGTATATAAGCATCTCATTCAGATAATGTTGTCATTTTTTCGAGACTGACTCCATCCGAGTCACTAACACAGCCTCTTAGTGAGGAGGAAGGGCGGAAGAGTGTCAGTGGAGGTAAGGATTATACTGGTCAACAAGTCATTTTCATCAGATATAATTATGGGTGGACTAGATAGCACTTGGGACGCTGATTCCAAATCTGTTTTTGGTATTCCTCTAGACCAATGAAATTTCAAAAGTTATTGCCTTAATAATAATTTAAATTGTTGTATATTTCTTTTTTTCATAAGTGTGTACTGTATACATTTAACTAGATGTGCTAGAAGAAAACCTGAAAACAGATTTGGAATCAGCATGCAAAACTGGTATAGAAAAGTGTGTTTACATCTTTGATGAGAGAAAAAAGTTTGATTTTGTCTATCAGTGTTATTGGAAATACATTTTCAATTTAGGAAAATGTTAACTTCCAAAACATACTTACCTCCACTGCTACTTATAGCTAGAACCCCATATTGAGAAGGTGGAGGGGCCAATGAGGGCATTATCTATACAGATTATGGGTGTACCAAGATAAGAGTGGTACCCTAGTGGGGGAACTGCACTACATCTAGAACAGGTATGCTCTTCACCCTGAACTTAATTCCTGTATCGTAGGTGAAATTGTATCTGAGTGATAATCACTATAGGCCAGTCCCAACCAGATAGCCAAGGTTCCACTACTCAGGGTTGGAATTAAGGGGTCTTGGTCCCTATATCCCACATTGGTGGCTAGGGCAATTGGACTGCAACATTATAGACACACATACTTATATGTTGATCCCAACTTGTAGCCATAGAGTGATGCATTCTGAGCCATCGGAATCATGGCAAGAAAGCAAGCAACACCAAAGTGGACAAACCTTCTCCTCCACCTGAAGAAATCCAAAATGCACCCCAAGCTCGGAATGACAGGAACGTGTATGCCTTAATCAATCACAGGAAACAGAACTCATCCAGTCTGGAATTATGAACATTCACTCTCACTTCCCAAATGTGTGGGCAAGGTACATTCCACTTGCACCTGGAATTATGGGGAGGACATGGAACAACTGTACTCAACAAAAGACCCTGGATAGGACCACTCCACATTCAGAATTACAAGGAGATATGGAACCCCTTCCATGAACAATGTAGTGAATCAATATTGATCAAAAAGAAGGACCAAACACACCCCAACCAGACAACAAACCATCAAATCTGAACTGGTATTATGAGTAGGCTCCTACATAGGCTGGTGCTACTCCTACCAACATCTGGGAAAAGCATCCAGGAATCCAGGTAGAAGGGCCTCCAACTTCACCCTCTTCTCAAAGAGTGGAGGAATTCACTCTAACACTCTAGAGGAAAAGCCTCAGTCCACCACCCCAGTGACTGGAAACTGGGTGTGGTAAGAACTCCCTAGCTGCACTAGTAGATTCTGAGGGGGTAATGCACATTGGGAAGTCCTGAGAAACAGTGCAATAGGTGAACCAAGTTTCTTAAATTTTTTAAAGCAAACAGATCTTGATTTATTCAATTCAAAGATTATCAGGGATGGGCTGAATCCCCTTATGCTTTACTCATGATAGTCCATGAGTGGTGGTCCATCATAGAACAGTAATACCACTGGTCAGCTCCTAAGGAGTCTTATGGAACACCTCATTTCTACAGAGCCTGTTGAAACCTGTATAAAGTATAATGAATTAGTGGTTGCTAGTGTGGAATTGGTTTGATAAAAGCACACCTGTCTGGGCAAAACTCGCCACAGAGTGGGATCCTGTGAAAACAAGGTAAGGGACCCTGACAGATAGAAATAAAAATACTCACCTCTCTGGATAATCTAGCAGAAATAGTTAGATAGCTACAAGGGGTTGACAAAAACCCTCAGATGAAGAGACTGCTAGATCAGGCAAATAATGTGAAATAAAGGTATTGGGAAGGTCCACATACCAGTCCACACAATGACCTACAGTGGGCAATTCGACTGGGCCACTAAGGACCTTGAAAAGTGAAATCAAATTAGATGTGACTCACAAAAGATACTTGCCTTCAAAGAGAGCCCAGAATAAAAAGCATTGTCTAGTATCTCTAAAGGTGTTAGTGCAGGCAACAAAACCTTCAATACCCTCACTGAACATAACTAAGATCAAAATCTGATTAGACATAGAAGAGAGAAATAGTGATGAGATGAATTGGAGAAAAGGACTGAACTCCTTTACCATCTGACAGTGTGTTGGATAAGAAGTACTGGTCTGAAGACGTAAAGAGAATGAGAAAGTGGTCTGTGGACAATCAGTGAAGATCACTCCGATTGGTGATGTCTGTAGGTCAGCAGCCAAAAAAAATAAACATGCAGGTAAAGGAGATACATAGCATATAAGAGTCAGGTCACAAACAGGTGTTGAAAAAGAACACATAATGTGATCTTAATAGAAATGGTAGGTGGAATTGTCATTTGGGACCAAGTACCAAAGTGAAATGCCGAACCTGGAGGATACTTGGGACTCAAAAAATATGTAGTCACGATAATCCAATGGAAGTTTATAAGGATGCCTTAAACAAGGAGATTGTGGAAGATGCAAAAACCTCTGCCAAAGAGATGGGGCAAAAAATTAGTTATGGTTGACACCACTGATTGAAAAGGGTTCAACCCCCTCTCAATACACCATTGCCAATATGCATGTCATTACCATTGATAAATGTGCCTTTTGGACTAAGCATAAACTGAGATAGATACAAGTCAACCTTAGAAATAAAACCCTGATGCCATGTGAAAGACAGCATGACCACTATGCCAGAAGCTTGAGTTTCTGGGTAGCTGGGTGAACCATATCAGATCATGGCTGCTTCCACAAAGAGAACCTAAAAAAGAAGTGGAAGAGTTGGACACACTGGAAGGAACTGCAGAAGCAAAAACCCAGGTGTAGCAGCCAATCTGGTGCTATTAACAGGATCTGGAACAAATCATAGTTCATACCATGGATAACATATGAAGTGGAAAGAAGGCAGAGAGTTGTAATCCTATCCTGTCCTGACGGAATGCACCTACTGCCAAAGCCCGAGGGTGAATTACTGGAGACAAAATTTCAAGAAGTTGGGTGATCCAATGAGAGGCCAACCCACCAATTAGAGTTGCAAAATGACAGCCAATCAAACAAAACTATGCAATGTAACATCTATTCTAATGGGAAAATCTGTTTGGATTGCTATAACAGGTGATACCCTTTGAACATGGCCAGCTGGAAGGGTGATAAGATTGGACTGGTCCCAAGAAAGGAGATAAAGAATTTGAAAACAAGGACCCCTAGACCAGGTGCCTCTTTGATGATAAACACAAGACACCACCACAGAAGTGTCAAGAGTGAAGCCTGACAATTTACCCCTTAATAAGCCTAGATCGTGAGGCATTGCCTGTTGAAAAGCAAAAAAATGAAAACATTGTGTAGGGAATTTCTGAATGTTGGTATATGCACCCCATCTCCGAAGCATGGCATTCGTGAAGAAATGGAACTCTGGACGAGGCAGTAGTAGAGGAACTCAAATCGTAGTAGTCCCTACTTAACAACCCCTTGAAATTAAAGAATAATCCAAACTAAGAAAAGTGAGGAACCAGTGAATCGATGTTTATGATCCGTGGTTGCATAAAGACCAATAAAAGGATCACTTGTGTTCTTGTCCCAAAGGCACGAGGGAATCAAGTAATTCCCACATTCCCAGAAGAGAAAGAACCATCCATATAGTGAGAGCAGGAGAGGTAAGTGTGTGGTGTCCTATTCTAGAGCATTGTGCCAGATGGAAGTCAGCTGAGCCTGACTGAGAGATGAAATGAAAAATAAAAATACCCAGACTGATGATATATTGAATTGGAGGAAGAATATATGTTTCAGTCCTGAAAGGAAAGCCTGCCTTGGTTGTTTCTGAAAGTAGAATCAAGATGTGATGGTCTGACAATTGAAGAGATGGTGCCAGCAGTAATCACTCGTTCCATGGAATGATGTACGCACAGTATGATGGAACGAAGGGGACGAGAAAAAAAAACTTGTATGATACGGCAGAACCCACATGAAGCCAATGTGAGTTTGAATGGAAAAACCTGTAACTGCAGCACCTGACCCTCGTGCACCACAGACATCTATAGTGGTGGAATACCACCACTTTGGCAAAGTGTAAATAGAAGCTGACTGCAACCAACTTGGACATCTATAATACCAGTAAAAAAAATCAACACAGATTGAGGAATGAGTACCTTGTGAACCTTGGAGAATCTAGGCATTGATATAGATGAAGAAGATCAGTAACTAGACAACAATCTCCTGTTTGCATAGGCCCAACAACTGACAGGAATAAAAACTCAGAAGAATTAGCATGACTCTCTCACCCCCCCCCCCAGACCAAACAAACACAGATAACCCTAGAACTAAGTTCCAAATCCTCCCAATGAACTGTTGGAGATGGAAACCCTACAGGTTGGGTGGATAACAGTGATGAAGATCTGAACTGAATGACTAATTGTGACTCAAGAACCTGCAGTGCTCCTGGACCCATGGTTAAGGTTACCATACATGTAGAAATTCTTGAAAACAGGCCCCCACAGCCTCTGAAGGTATAGAATAATCACCAACACTGTTGGGAATCCAACTGAGCAGTGGAAACCTTGGATATAGACAGAATCTATTCTGGGTACCAATGTACCAAAGGGCTAATGTCAGGAGTTGGGACTCACGAATAGGGGCAGAACTATGACCCCCTGTAAGAGAAAATGTAATTCAAGCCTCCAATGACAACAGGGGGGGATCACAGAAGCCAAAATTTGAACCAACATGCATGAAGTTAGTGATCCTGAGAGTCTTCTAACTAAACTGAAAGGAAAACAAAATGTTGAATTTTAGAGTTGTAAGTCCATAGACTTACTCTATCCCATCAGGGGACATGGAACTATTCAGGTGAACTACTAACTCTGCTTTAGAACCCCGAAATTCGAGAAGAGATGTATTATTTGAGAGTCAGAAAATGCATCCACCTGGCAGTGATAGGCTAAATAATGAAGTTCCGACAACATTTCGTATAAGGAATAACTGTTCCTACACAAAGCTGAGAAGTAAACCTTCCAGCATGAACCACAATATCTGTGTATGAAGAAAAAAAATAAAAATTTGCTCCCAGACCTTTCAGACATCAAGTAAGGTGAAGGCCCAAAAGAAACTGGGAAAAAGCCTAAAACATCATACACTCTAAAAACCAACAAATGAAAAACAAAACAAAGGCAGCTTATCTCAATGTGGCCTCCTTTTCCTTACTCATAAGTCATTTAAAGACTGTGTATATTACTGTTGATGGGAACAGTGTTCTGTGAGGCAAAGTTGTTTTGTTAGAGCAAAGGAACTTTGGACCATCTGCCACATCCACCCTAAGTAATCAAACCATGGACTCCAGTGTTGCGAGTCCATAAATGTCCCACTGTCCCACAGGAGGACTATAAATCCAACAGACTAAAAGAAGTCAGAAAAAAAAGCAAATCTAATGTCTCTCCAAAAATTTCGATGGATCGCCCACAATTGCAGCCTCAGAGCCCCCTGGAGGACCACCACAGATCTGAATATATGTCTCCATCTCACTACAAATAAGATCACTAACAGTCTCAGCTGTGAGTGACTCCTCCCCTGATTGTAGTGAGATGCTAGATATCAGAGTTGAGATAAGAGAGACCCAATTTGCCTCCCTTCCAGAAATAATACTCCGGAAATTCATACCAACTGCAAGAAAAGAATTTTTACTTCTTTTTTTTTTTAACAAGTATAATGATTATTGCAAAAATCAACTAGATAACATGATAACATTCAAAGTATCTCCGATGATCATAATACTGGGAAACCTGTTAGTGACACTTTGTCGAGAAAAAGTGGTAACATTTTCTGAATGAGGTGCTTATACACAGTACCAGAATAAAGGGCTCATTGACGTAGGTGGAGAGTATCACACAATAAATATCAACAAGGGCAATTGAGTGAGGTATAAAAGACTGAAGCATGCAGGAAAAAATCAGACCAATGCTTAGATGGGCAAAGGAAGAAACCCTGGCAGTCGAGTAATAGCTATAAGTGTGAGATGAGGTACGTATTATTGAAACTACATTTTCAATGTAGGAAAATGTTAACTTCTGGACAATCACAATTTGCTATAAGTGTGAGAGAAAGTATGTATGTTTTGGAATACTTCATATTCTCTATTAGAAGCTGAATATGTCAAGGGATACTGGGGCGTTGTGATGGTCCAGAATACTTGATATTCTATCTCAGAACCTGGATATGAACATACACTTACTGTCAAGGGATACTGGGGAGTTGTGATGGTATAGAATACTTGATATTCTCTCTTAGAAGCAAGATATCAACATACACCTACTGTCAAAGGATAAACAGTGAGTTACGATAGTCCAGAATACTTGATATTCTATCTCAGAACCTGGATATGAACATACACTTACTGTCAAGGGATACTGGGGAGTTGTGATGGTATAGAATACTTGATATTCTCTCCTAGAAGCAAGATATCAACATACACCACGGGTATCAAAACCCGGATTCTAGTGTTGTAAGTCTGCAGACATACTGATGGGCCACTGGGGGGCGACATTGATGTTTTCATAAAAAAAGTAATTATTTCTATAACAATAGTGCAGAAAATAATAAAATCAAGTGTCAGAAAGGAAGCTGGAATGCACTGTGTTAAACTATACTGAGAAATATCTGGTTAATTGGTCTCTACAGTGCTGTGTTGTATGTAAAATCTTTCTGAAGTATGTAACAAGTAGAAAAAGACTTAAGTTAACACACACGCACAAAAACTAATTCCCTTTCTTTAAAGGGTGTGGAGGAATTCATGTGTAGCACTTATTCAAGCATAATTACTTGTACTGCTGGGCATAACACACCTCAGAATGATTTAAAATTCATAGAACTACAGTATTATTTTGAATTTCTCCAAGTTCAACATATTTCTCACCACATGCGACTATCCAATAAACTTAAGGTTACACATTACCTCAAAGCATCATCAATGCCCTCTAACATCTGATAAAAAACATTGAAGTTTGGTTCCCCTTCTGGTCTCCTAGACACACGAGCTTTTTCTACCATATATGCCTAAAACAACAAAAAAGACTATCACTTAACAACAAGTCCAAGGTTAAACAGAAAATATAAACAATCCATATCTGTTTATTAATGTATGAAACAACTTATACAGTCATTTAACTCAAATAAAGAAAAAGTAATTAGATCAGGTTAGCGTTGCAAATGAACATTCTTGAAAAAAAAAAGAAGTGTACAAAGACAGAGCTAATAACAGATGGCATTAAATATAAACACAATTTTACAAAAGTTATTATTTATACTGAAAATGAATTTTCGAAAGGTACTTCCCTCCGCTCACAAGATTAGCTTTCCCATTTTGTGCTGCCCTCTATATGTGAACCTTTTTATAACTCATACCACAAACCTTCTATACACCCCTATTGGAATCAAAGATTCCAACATGTCTCTCAGGCAAATCATCTCTCCACCAATAGGGCAGCACTACTATCATGTGACTCCCTCTATGCTCTTACTACTGAACCATCAAATAGAAGTATGGCAGACTCTGGGAAGAAGGGTGGGAAGTGTGAGTGGAGAGAAGTGACTATCAGAAATATATTTTCATAATAGTAAAATTATAACTTCTGATATGCTACTTCCCTCCACTCACAAGATTAGTTAGGATCCCACATTGAAAAGGAGAAGAGACCAGTGCAAGACAAGAACTACATCCAAAACCTTCTCGCTGGGTATCAACATTCAAGCAAGGGTAGGATGAGGATCATACTGGCTTCACCTCAAGTCCTAAAATTGTGGATATGAAGAAAACACCAACTCCTGGGCACTACACAGGATTTGCATTCAGCAAGGGATCCGGGAATGTGTCATCCGGTATTTGAGGGAAGTCCATCACATGCAATCAACTACCGTAACTGTGAGACTGGTCTGAAACATTCAAAGATCAATAACATCCCCGTTGCAAGAGAGAATGAGAGAGTACCCAGGACAGAAATAGAAACATTCCAAGTATACCCTCCATGACCCACTACACAAAAGGAAGAATCGATGGAGGAAGATGAACAACCCCAAACCTGTGTGAGGACTTAAGTTGATTGGTTCACTCGGTATCCAAAACCAGTCTGTGGGGGTACCAACATCCGTGCAGAGTTAGGATGAGGGCACCCAATCGAAGGAGTGAACTGCATTTAGATGTCTCACTCCATGGTATGTGTCACTCAATCTGAAGAATGGTATGCCTTCTACACTGGCAGAACACCACTGCCCTACTCTGAAATGAATGGTATAGACATCTATGTGGAACCAATCCAGCAGGATGTCTCCATGGTCAACCACCCCAATGGCTTGGAACTGGCAAGTGGTAAGAAAAGCAGACCATACCGAGTTATTAAATTGAGACATGGAAGGAATGGGCAACTATCCACTTCTGCTTTACCCGTGCCATCCATGGGTGGTACAGTGTGGGACAAGCCTACTTATGAAAAAAACCCATTCCAAAGTTGAGCGTGCGGAGCCATGGAAAGAGTGCAAGAATCAACATGGCGTACATTGTCAATTTATTTGTGTAGGTAAAAAATATCTAGTCAGGCACCACTCACCACAGAGTGGTATCTAAGAGACAAAATTCAAAGCAAGGGCCCCTGAAAGAAAAGAAGGCAGGAAAGTGAGATGTAAATAATGGGAGATGAACGTCTGAGGGGTTGTCACATGCCCGACTGCAGAATCTCCTCTAAAGGCCGACAAAGATGAGAAGCAAGGTAAAAGGTGAGGTGTCAGATTTGATGGGAGATAACATAGAACAAAGCACGTTGGGAAGGGGGCAAAGAGGAATAAGCCAACTGGATTAAATAGTGAACCCAATTGGTAAGGGTAAAGGGAGAAAGATCCCAAGAAGAAGGGAGCTGGCATGGGATAAAAAGACAGGAACGGGAACCCATGAAGGAAGCCGTGTGGGCAATATAACAACAAAGAACACGCAGTGGACATAGAAGTATATTTGGATCAGGAAGAGGGTAGAGATGAGAAACAGAGGGAAGGGAAAATGGGCAAAAAGGAGGAGTTACCCTCATGAGCCATCAAAGTCTTGGGAAGGAAGAAACAATCCGGATAAAGGAGAAAATGGGTTTGGTAGTACAGTGTGCAGGTGATGTTGATAGTAAACAGACCCAGTCGACGACGCATGCAGGCCAAGAGGAGAAGAAAATATGCCTTAAGGGATAGGTGAAACAAAGAGCACGAGGCAATGGGCTCAAATGGAAGTACCGGATGCGTTGGCAGCCGAAGGATCCAAAAAAGAACGGATCAAAATGGCAAGGACAGGTGAAAGATAGACCCTGTGGTAACAGAAAAAACAAAAAGTATTGGATAGGGCTGCCTGATAACCCAATATCAAGGGGACTGAAGACTCCTTCTCAAAAAGCCAGGTAAGTGGGTAACATTAACTTTGGAATTCATGCTTGATCCCAAACAAGCAAGCAAGCAAGCAAACCAAGTAAATCAAACACTTTTGAAAATAAAATGGGAAGTCACATGATAGTAGTGCTTTCCTATTGGTGGAGAGATGACGCATGATGATTTGCATGAAAGACATGTTGGAATCTTTGATTCCAATAGGGGGAGTGCAGAAGGCTTGTTGTATGCATTGTAAAAAAAGTTCGCATATATAGGGCAGCAGAAAACGAGAAAAGCTAATGTTGTAAGAGGAGAGAAGTACCATATTGGAAATAAAGTTTTCAGATATGTTTTAAGTGTTTACATAATTGATAAATATCAATCTTGAAAGAAAGAAAAATTGCCTATACTGCCATGATAAATAGGTCATACATTTACAGTGAAAAAAGTTGCCAAAAACAACAAAGGAAACCACAACAAGAGTTACATGTCAAATTTGGATGATATTCTTGGTACAGTAACTGAACTTACCTACAAAGTCTTCCTAAAAAATTAACCTGTTTAATTTCTCTTGTATCCAGAGATTCAGTAATAATGTTGAATAACTTAGGTTTAACTTACTTGCACTGATGCTGATACAATCTGGCCTGAATGATCAAAGTCTAAAGAGAACAACTGAGTAAATCGAGTAGCATTACTGTTTAAAACAGTCCTACAATTTCCAAAGGCTTCAAGGAGTGTTGAAATGGCAGTCAATTTTTCCACTGTAATCAAATAAGGTACAGAATGACAGAAGACACTGTTAACCACAAAAATTATCAAATACTTTTTAATAATTATCAATCCTCCACAATAAGTGTAAACCATTTAACATAACAAAAAAAAATCTGTCCTATTTATAAACATTTTAAGTTTTTCAAAAAAACTTAATTCAATGCTGAATTATTGTGTGTTTTACTAAGCACGATTATTTTCCTGGGAAGAATGACATGTGTACGCTTAGTCAACAAAAAGGCTAAATGAGACTCAAATTTTAATATTTGGCAGAAAAAAAAAGGAATGAACATATAAGTATTATACGAGATATTAATAGTGAGAAAAAGGTTGTGTGTTTACATTTAACTGAAAATGTTTACTTTAACAAGGTCTTCTTACCACTGATCACATTATTTAAACACCCTGCTGTGACAACTAGGTACTGTAAGACTTGTCGTACGTTCGTAGTTTTACCACTTCCACTACGACCCAAGAAGACAACAGACTGGTCTCTGCGGGATGTTAGCAGTGCACTGTAAGCAGCCTGTCCTACAGAATAGATGTGTGGGGGCATGTCTGTTTGCTTGCTTCCTCGAAACATCTTCATAATCTAAAGAGAATTGGACTGAGTAGTTAAGATTAAGTATCATCAGGCTTTCTTGAGGAGCATATAATTGGGTAATATTCACAGGGTAACCTTTGATCCCACACATAAAGAACCTGGAATATAGTAATTCAATATCACAAAGGCTGATATACCACAAAGAACCTGGGAGATAGTAGTTCAATATCACAAAAAGCTAATATACCACAAAGAACCTCAGCTATTAAAGCTGATTCCACCTGAAGTTCTGACCTGTTTAAATGCTACAATTTATAACAGGTAGACATAACAACTGGATGAGCAGATGCCACCATCAGTAATTAGTTTAGATGTGTATTTGATTCCAAGTCATACTCATCTTTTGGACCGTCTAGGCCATCTTATCCAATAAACTAAACCAAACACTCAAAGCTAGCCCTTATCATTCAAATATTTATTAAACTTTCCCTTAAATTAACTGAATTTACCACCACATTACAAAAAGATGTTTAGATGAAGATGACTGCTACCCTGCCAAAATTTATATTTGTGTTCTAGAGGGTTGCACTGTTATCAAACATAATTAAATTACTTAAGGAACTTACAGGACAAAACTTGATACAATTCACAAAAACCAATAACACCATTATCGACTTCTCTCCTGAAGAAAGAGGTCTGTTTTTTAAAACAACCTGGATTATCAGATTTCTTGTACTAAAATATCATAAAAATCCAATTTTTAAGAACTACATTCACTAGATGAAAACATTGCAATAGACTTGAAATATATATTTAAAACTGTATGTCTAGAATGCACCTGTTGATAGTGTATTTCAATATTTTTACAATTTAATCTTATAAAGCTGTATGAAATGTATAAAATACAGTGTAAATAAAAACACTCTTTAGCTCCTAAGTAACAATTCTAAATAAAAGATAAAATACTTGCATTCTCAAGAAAAGATATTCTGAAGAATAATAAGAGAAAATCAATACATACTTTTTCAGAGTACAAGGCCATTGGGTGCTGAGGGTTGACAACCAATAACGTGCTTGCTGCATAAGTGTGGATTAAACTGCTTGCATACCTCTGGCGTAATGTGTGTAGTATGCTGCTTTCATTCAAGTGTCTGAGCTCACTCAAATCTTCAACACGGTCGAGGTGAGAAGGATTAGCCTGCCAATTAAAATACAATGTGATTAAGGAAGCCTATGGTTTTTCTTTATAAAAGTGTGAAATTTATGCTCATAATGAGCAATTCTGGCTGACCACGTCACGAAAGGCATAAAGCATAAATTAATTCATCTAGTAAGTGAGTTTGATAAGAAAATGGAAAATTAATAAACAAAATTTAACACTCTTTAGTCTTTAACTTTAAGATTTGATGTGATGTTCTGTTGATAATATTTTAACTATAGATTAGCTTTATTCTCAACCAGCTTGAACCTTAAGTACTTAAAGATAGAAATTTTACATTCATTTAAACATAGTCTTAGTTTTTTAGAGTAATATTTTGAAAATATATTTAACAGAAACTTCAAAAGCAGATGAAGTTTTAATCTGTGATATAAGTAATTCCACATCCTCCATACTTGAACTGAAATTCACATTCATAATGATTATTTAACAATAAATTTCTGAGTCAACCAGACCATGTACTGTATTCTGCCACCAGGAGGTACATAAGCAGCTTTTCCTTAACCCTCTTTCAAATCTCATGGAAAAACTCTATCTTATGAACAATCTAACAGTGTTTGTCAATTCAGAAACTGAAAATTTAATAAACTCATAAGGTCATGATGTTCTTGCAATACAATATCTATTGAGATTCTTGTGAAAGCCAGTAAAGAGCAGGAATTGTAAAAACAACCAGAAGATTTTCTTTTGAGAATGCACACATATCTCAGAAGACAGATGTCAGAAGCATCAGATTCAAAGTTTACTTGCAAGTGTAAGGTAACACAGATGTCAGAAGCATCAGATTTAAAGTTTACCTGCAAGTGTAAAGTAGCACAGATGTCAGAAGCATTAGATTCAAAGTTTACCTGCAAGTGTAAGGTAACACAGATGTCAGAAGCATCAGATTCAAAGTTTACCTGCAAGTGTAAGGTAGCCAGATGTCAGAAGCATCAGATTCAAAGATTACCTGCAAGTGTAAGGTAACACAGATGTCAGAAGCATCAGATTCAAAGTTTACCTGAAAGTGTAAGGTAGCACAGATGTCAGAAGCATCAGATTTAAAGATTACCTGCAAGTGTAAGGTAACACAGGTGTCAGAAGCATCAGATTCAAAGTTTACTTGCAAGTGTAAGGTAACACAGATGTCAGAAGCATCAGATTCAAAGTTTACCTGAAAGTGTAAGGTAGCACAGATGTCAGAAGCATCAGATTCAAAGTTTACCTGCATGTGTAAAGTAGCCAGATGTGAGAAGCATCAGATTCAAAGTTTTCCTGCAAGTGTAAAGTAGCACAGATGTGAGAAGCATCAGATTCAAAGTTTACCTGCACGTGTAAAGTAGCCAGATGTGAGAAGCATCAGATTCAAAGTTTACTTGCAAGTGTAAGGTAGCACAGGTGTCAGAAGCATCAGATTCAAAGTTTTCCTGTCAGTATAAAATACCAAAATGCTTCATGCAGCAGATATGGATGCATCATGATGGGATACCAGTTGCTAAGAAAGCAAGCCATAAAAGAAGCCAGAGAAGAGTTTCAGTTGGTGCTAATAAAAATACCAAATGGCTAAAGAAATGTATATCTAAATACAGAATCATTGGAATATATACATGGACAGGAAGGTGAGAGTGGTTAACATGGGAAGACAGGAAACCATTACAACCACTGTATTCACAGAAACAAGTCCTAGATATTCCTATATTTTGCCATTTTTTCCAGATTTTTAGATCTCACACGGACCCTACTTTATTACCAAAAAGTACACAATTAGTCTGGCTTACTCAGAGGTTCATTGTTAATCATTATAAGAATAGTTAACTAACTAGCTAATTTTCAAACAAAACTACAAGATAATGTGAAATAATTTATATTTTGAATATGTAAATCATAAAATGCATTCACCAGGAATCAAAATCTAAGTATTTGAATTGTAAGTTCTACACTAGTAAGCTGAAGGTGAGGATTGAGTTAGTGGCTCTTTCAAGCTCTTTATCATGCAGATTACTGTTAATGAAGCAACTGCAAGCTATTTTAGTAAAAGATGCTTCAGTTAGCACTGCAAAACATCATTAAGGTGTGTTATTTAATGTTCAATAGTTAATTGTTGTTATTTTTCAAAACCAATAGACAGTCAAAAATGTTTACAAAGTTTTGTATTGTTTGGTAACTGTATTGTAATGTGATAGAACTTTCAATAATAAAAAACACTTTTAGATAGTCAAGTGAAATAACTGAAGTTCGTAACAATCTCAAGAACTTTAACTGATACAAAACATTTTGTGAAAGCTACCTCAGAAAACTGATCTCATAATCAGCTTCTGACAGCAACAACTTTTACATACATACACACACTTTAAACGCATTCAAGTTCCAACATAAAAAACATTTTTTTCCACACTGTACCACTGCTATAAATTAAAATGTATAAGCAATTTTGGTATAAATTGAGGAAGTGATTTTAAACAAAAAAAATCCATATGAACATATTATTTTGTGAACTACTTAAATAACAAGAAGGAAAAATAAGTTTTTTTGCTTCACTGAACATAAAATATCAAAGTAACACCAGTCAGCTGTAAGTGAATAAATAAACTATGCACATTTGAAAGTTCAATACATGTGAGAGGTATTCAATGAAATATGATTTTATTTCCTATATCTCACCACAGGTATCGGAACCCAGTTTCGAGCACTGGAAGTCTGCAGACATACCATTGTGGGGCATCCAGTGGCTCATTCAATAATTTTGAGGGATTATATGCTACAAATCAGGTTTTTATAACCATATTAGCACAGCATAGATAACCCATTGTGTAGCTTTGTGCTTAAACACAAATAATTTCCTTTATTCAAATTCGATGATGAGGAACCCACTGAGACTAATAATGATTGGAGATGGCTTGAATGGGTAATGAAGAAAAACTTTAATATAAGTTTAACATAACAGCAAATGTACAATGTTTCGACAAGGTTTTGTCATCATCTTGTACCTGATGGTGCACATGTGACAATACAAATCTAATTGTGTACAGCTGTTTTAAAAACACCTAAGTGTCATGTCCATGCAAATCAAGATTATGAAGGAAACAAAAAAAAAAGAGCCAGAAATCACATAGTTCTTGGTCAGGATTACATGTGGGAGTGACAAGTTCTGTCCTTCCAAACTTCTCATTTACTGTTGTTACAGTTGATGGGTGATAACTTATTAGTATGATCATTCTTTTGCTATAAAATTTGTTGTATGGGAGGGGGGGGATCTATCATGCTGTACTACTATAAATACAGATCTTAGACCAGTTTCCAAGAAACAAGTGATACTCCACTTGGGATTTCAAAAAAGAACTAGTACTTAGTTCTGGTGAATACAGGTAGAATTTCAACCCTTAATTTTGAAATCTGTAGATTTGAAATAATGTTATGTTTTTTAAAATTAAAGTTTTTTCTTTGTGCACTTCTCAACAGTGCAAGAAAGAAAATAACATTTGGTGACTTGGTGGAGTATCATCCTTTAACAGCACATAGAGTATTATATATAGGTAGAAGGTTAAATTTTAGAGAACAGTTGAGTTTTACCTACAAAGTGAAAATTGAAAGCCACCAAATGACCCAACTTTTTTCTTTCATTTTCCAAGCAACTGTTTACCAAGATCATGCAACGAAGTTATGATCATTCACAGTCCAATCCATGCAGGCAAAAATTTATCATGCAACTTACAGCACATATAACTCTTTATCAATCCAAACAATATTCTTGTCCTAATTAGAAAAAGAAGAAGACCATACTCAACCCACAGGTTACAACACTTCTGAGAACCAACTAAGTAACTTAGCTAGTCCTTATGAATATCTATTTTTTAAATTCTTTTATTAAGGAATTCTGTGCTAATGATTGGCATTGCATTACTCAACAAGCAAGTTAATTTGACAATTCTAAAACTTCGTTCCAACCGTCTTTAGCAGAAGTGTTAATCACAAAGGAAAACTAGAGATGTTTATATTTGAAGTAAGTAATTCCTTCTACTATAAAATGTGGCATCTACTGCTAAGTAGTAAAAACAAACTTGGTATTCCTTTGTTATTTATGATTTTGAATTTTATGTTATTTATAGTGTGACATTGATTATACCAAGTAACCTTTCAGTTAGTGAAAAACCACAGTAAATGGAACAAACTCTCAAAAGTCTGATATCAGAGAAACTAGTATGACATATTCGTGCATCCTCTTCAGTCTCACGTTGTCTTGTGACAGGAAAAACACTGGTCAACCAATGCCTATGTGACTCCCGATCTTGTAATTCCCTTAAGGACACAGGAGGTCAGGAAGTTGCTAAGTCTAAAGTGACCTTGAGAGATGTTGAAATTAGGCATGCTTCTGATTAAGCAACTTTCAACGATTCTTCTTTTTATGTAGTTATCCATTTTGTATAAAATTCTTGTTGATTTCCAATCAATTTGATGGTCAGAATCTCTCATATGAAGACAAATATCAATGTTTTGGTTTCAATATTATGTCTTTTTTATGTTAACAAATTCTCGTGTCAACGCTTCTTCCAGTTTCACCTACATAACCTTTCTCACAGGATTGGCATGGATATAAACATCTTGTTTTTTATCTTCAGGTGATTTTCTTTTCGAAGTTAGGTTATTTTCAATGGTGTTCGGATATTTGTATATGATTCTTCTAACGTTATTCTTCTTTAATATATTCTCAATGTTAGTGTTGTAGCCAATATAAAGTTGTTTCACATTATCATTGGATTTATGTTTCTTTATCTTCATGGAACAAGGTTTTTTTGCTTTGAGATGGCAGTTTGTAATGAAATGTCATGGAAAATGTAGTTCTTTGAAAATAGAAAAGATATTTTTAATTTCATGTACAAGTATTATCGGGTGGCATATTCTATATGCTCTAAGAACAAATAAATGTTTTGACCTGTTTAGGGTGACACAAAAAGAAGTGAACATAACTTAAAGAATCTGTCATTTTACGGTATACTGATAGGACTGATTTTGTGTTTTTTCTGGTTATCAATAAATCATTTTATGGTATACTGAGAGGAATGGTTCTGTGTTTTTATGGTTATCAATATGTCATTTTATGGTATACTGATAGGACTGATTTTGTGTTTTTTCTGGTTATCAATATGT